TGATTAAACAAACTTAAAACATACATAATTCAAATTCATTTTTGTGATTAAACAAACTTATAAACATACATAATTCATTCGGATACATTCTCGTAATCTGTTGAAACATCATCATTTTCGTAAAACTCGTCCTCTACACATTCGTCCATCGAGTGATCAGGAACATCTTCGTATTCACGATTATGCGGATCAATGAGTGGGATGTCATCGATTTCTGCTTCAGGTTCCTCGATCTCATTGGTGTTTTCTTCTTGTAATGGTGGTTCTTCTCCACCGATTATTCGTCCTCGAGGTGTAACTTTGATAACAGCTAACCAGTTTATTCCCGAGGTAGTAATCCGAGGCTATGGAATGAAACAAACTTGATCTGCTTCGGAAGCTAATATGAAAGGCTCGAACTTGTTGTACCTGCAAAAATAAAGACAACGTAAAAATTAATTAATACTCGAAACCTGGATGTAAAAAGAAATTTTTGTTGTACCTTCGTCCACCATTGACATCAACTACACTGTTCTTGTTAATCTGAACACCTCTGTTAACGACGGTGTCGTACCACTCACACTTGAAGATAACACATTTCAAACTTCTACCTGGGAATTGAACTTCATAAATCTTCTGCAAGATCCCGTAGAAATCTGTTTCGCCTTTCATACATATTCCATAATTACTTGTCGCCCGGTGTCTACCATAGTCATAGGTATGAAAAGTATAGCCTTGGGTGAAATACATCGATGATGCAGTGACCTTTGCAACTGGACATTGAAGTAATTCGTGAAACCATGCGGGATACTCAAGATCGTCATAATCAACCTGTAAAAAAAATAATAGAACTAGATATTAGAGTTACTTTGTGGTAATGTATGCATAAAATTTAAGCTATAATAAATACTTGTTTCCTCAACCACTTGATAAAGTGTTGATCTTTTCTTTTGTCTAACTCAGTTGTCGATATACCAGGTATTGCTTCTTCGACTTGAGTCACAAATTGGCTGTAAAATCATATATGTTATGTGTGTATGTTTATATATTTACCTTTCAAAATAACCAATCAATGGATGCTCGCAATTAAGAAGAATATAAAGCTGTGCACTATGGACGTCTTCATCACTCGACCATCAAACCTCTTTCAATTTCCCACCCAATCGCCCAATTTGACAAAAGATGTCTGGAACATCGTCTTCCATATATGTCGGCACGACACCACCATCATCATATCTTCTTGGAGCTTGTTTCCTTGTACGTACTTTCGGTGCAAAGTAGTACGATGTTAAATATGATGTTTCTTCCGTCAAACTTCCCGCAACAATAGAACCTTCAACTCTTGCTAGGTTTTTGGCTTTTCCTTTCAAAGTTTTCATGGCCCTTTCATACTGATACATCCATCCATAATGCAAAGGTCCACGAAGTAATGCCTCATACGGGAGGTGGACAACTAGGTGCTCCATGACGTCAAAAAAAGTAGGCGGAAATATTTTCTCCAAGTTGCAGATTAAGATGGGGATGTTTTCATGAAGTTGTTGGACAACTTCCTCTTTAAGAGTGCGGGTGCTCAGATCCCTAAAAAATGCTCCAATTCCTTATATATTACAAAAACAAAAATTATACACATTAGTATATATATATATAAAAGAAATAAATTAATCATTGCGTCGTATTATATTAATTACCTGAAAGTGCTTCATGTATTTTTGCCGGTAGTAGCTCCGCAAATGCAAAGGGAAGTAATCGCTTCATAAAGACATGACAATCTTGGCTCTTCATCCCAGAGATATTTTGCCCTTTCTCAACACATTTTGAGAGATTTGAAACATACCCATCAGGGAACTTCACTTGTGAACCCACCCAGTTGAACAACACAGACTTTTTTTCTGATGACAGTCTGAATATCGGAACTGAAACTTGCTCATTGCTTTTTATATGTAGCTCACTCCTTGAGCAGATATCGGGTAAGTCCAACCTCGAGTTTACGTTGTCTTTCGTCTTCCCTGGAACATTCAATATAGTGTTCACAATGTTCTCAAAAAAGTTATTTTCTATATGCATCACATCGAGGTTATGACGCAAAAGAAGATCTTTCCAATATGGCAATTTCCAAAATATACTCTTTTTGTGCCAATTATGCTGAACACCATAAGAATCAGGCATATTACTGGGAACATGTCAATTCCCACCACGAGGAGCTGTTTCTAAAGCACCGTACTAATCGATTTTCGCTTCGATTTGTTCTCCAGTTAAATATGGAGGAGGAGTGTCTCTGACAACCCTTTTGTGCCTGAACAATGTCTTGTTTCTTCGGTATGGGTGGTAAACGGGAAGAAATCGACGGTGACAATCGAACCAACTAGTCTTCCTACCATGCTTCAACTGAAACGCATATGTCATTTCATTACAATATGGACAAGCTAATCTCCCATGTGTAGTCAACCCAGACAACATCTCATATGCAGGAAAGTCACTTATGGTCCACAAAAGCATTGCTCGTATCGTAAAATTTGTTTTCGTTGAACAATCATATGTCCTCACCTCTGTTGACCCCAAATCTTTCAACTCTTTTATCCGTGGTTGTAGAAAAACGTCGAGATATCTTTTTGGATGCTTTGGACCATGTATTAATATGGTTTAGAATATAACTCTCGTCGCATACACATCTACGGTGGCAGGTTGTACGGTGTAAAAAAGACCGGCCACAATGAATATTGTCTCCCTGACATTCCAAATGGACTAAATCCATCAGTGCATAATCCAAGATACACATTCCGGCTATTGTTAGCAAATGTGGATGTACATTGTTAAAATGTATCCAGGCTCTTGCATCTGATAGATGAGTCATCTCTTCATCCGTCTGAGTATGCTCGGCGTGCCATCTCATCCCTCCAGCAGTCTCCTCAGATTGGTACAATATTTTTAATATGTCTGTGATTGGTAGGTACCACATCCTTTGGTACGGTACCCTATTACGCCTTCGACCTTGCGGTTTGAATCGTGGCTTCTTACAAAACCGACATTCTTCTAACTTCTCATCATCTCCCCAGTAAATCATGCAATTGTCGATGCAAACGTCTATCATCTCCGAGGGCAACCCAAGACTATATACCAATTTCTGAATCTGATAATAAGATTCAGCAGACACATTGTCTTCTGGCAAATACTCAGTAAATTGGCTCATTCGCAGCTTCTAACATTTCATAAAATAAATTTTGCATCTACCTTAGGTTCTTCAACTTCATCATCATCATGAGTTACAAATGCATCACCTACCATATCATGAACCCTATCACAATCTACCATTTGTTCCTCTTGGTGATGATACCTATTTTCATTACGCAAATGATCAATCGATTCAATCTGAAAATTGCTATTACTACTGCTACCTTCATTCCTACAACTAACATCTTCTCCATGTTGATACCAAATATAATAATATGGCATGAAACCTCTATTTATTAAATGCTTCCAAACATTTTCACGAGGGCCTAATTTTGTATTGCAGCATTTCCGACAATGACCAAACATCTTACCACTTTCCTGCGTGAGTGGATTATAATCTGCTTGATGAATAAATGTCTCCAACCCTTCGAGAATTCTTTCGTCACTCTCCCGTTATTATCTCTGTGTGGATACATCCACTTAAGCAACTCGAAAATATTTCCGGGACCAGACATTTTTTTGTCTTTGATCAAGCTTAAAGCTGATTTTTTTTTGTGTGTTTGAAATGAATCACAAATGGTGGTACTTATAGAAATTTTCGAATCTGAGCATATACTAGGAAATTGCTAGGAAATGTAGGTACAAAACACGTTTTAAATTTAAATTAGATATTTTCTATCCAGTTCCTCGCTAATTTGAAGTAAAAGATCATTTCCTCCTAATTTCGTAGTAATGATTTACTAGGACTTTACGAGGAAAGTATTTACTACGAGATTACGAGGAAATGGTCTTTTGCCACGTAGTTTCCTCGTAAGTTTACTACGATCTTACGAGGAAAACGTTTTCTCATACCTTTACGAGGAAACTTGTTTTCCTCGTAAACTCGAAGTAAGCTCGTAGTAAATTTACGAGGAATTATTTTCCTAGTAAAATTTCCTAGTAAAATCTTAGTTTTCTTGTAGTGGAATCATCCACTAATCAAAATCACCATTCTTCGTCCAAATAAAGCCAACAATTTCACAATAGATCTCAGATCAGGAACCGAATCCGTGAGAACCCAATTCAAAAGGCAGCGATAGCGATATCTAAAAATATACGGCAAGAGATCCAGAGAAAGAGGCTCACTTGGTCGACGCAAATTGCTCCGGCTGCGGCAGAGATACCCCATCCCACGGCTGAAGAGAATATCCACCGAGTCCTGCAATCAATTCATAAAATATGCTTCAGATGATCTCCTATACGAAGAAAATAAATCATGAAATATCACCCTAAAAACAGACACTAAGACATAACTAATCGTTTCATCTAAGAACAGAACCGTGATCCCCATGAACAAGCCATTCTTGTTGATATTTCAAGAATCCCATAACTGTATGATACGACAAACAACAGCCTGAGAATTCCTTTCGAGGCGAGAGAGTTGAATCTGGAGTACCCAACGGTGGCTTGAGAAACAACAGCACCTGAAGATTTCATTTCGCAAATGTTTGCAGAGAAAATCCTATAAAATTTAGAGTAGAAGAGAAAGTGGAGGAAAGCTCACCTTAGAGAACCTGAATATATATGACGATGGAGTACGCGTTAAGGAAGAGGAGGCGTCCTTTATGCATTCAATGAGTGGAGTCTTCAAGCCATGGAGTTACAGATTCGTTTCTCCAGAACAAAGCTTTAATTTCGCGGCTTAGACCACTCGGCCAAGTCCTCATTCATTGTTAACAAACAGCGTGGCAAAGTCTTATATTATTAAAAAATGCATGGGACCCACAAAACTGTTGATGTGGTGCGCTGAGGAATCTCGAAACTGCCTTATTATAATATAGATTTATTCTATGTATAAGAAGAAAACTTAAACAATGAACAATGATGGTTAATAGTAAAACTTGTTTGTGTGTTATGTTACAGCTATTATGTCAACTCCAAAAAACCAAAGTGGAGCACGTCATGGACGTAAGTCAAACAATGAGGCAAGAACCACAATAGACGGTGAGACCAGTAGTGAAGGCCATGTAATTATATTATGTAACTTTTTTTCTGCAATAATAAGTTGTATAATATATATATCAAGTTAATAACTAGAAATATGTACTTTAGTATATGTGGAAAGACAAAAACTGTCAAGTTATGCTTGAACTTGTCATTGTGGAGTTAAGAGCAGGAGATTACCGTAGTAGAATGTCTGATGCTGCTGCTAAGAAAAGAATTGAGAACAAATACTTTGAGTTGGTGGGAGAAAAGATTTGTTGGGATCCAGAAATAACTAACAAAATTGGTTACTTGCGTAAATTATGGAGTATCAATTGTCAACTGATGAACCGCACTGGAGTTGTTGTTGATCAATCAACTGGCAGATAGATATGATGCAAACTTGGTGGGCTGATCGAATTGCAGTAAGTCTTTATGCATATATAGTTAACTATGTTCTTATTAAAAATCCATTAACCTAAACTGTTATTGTTATCTCTGTAGGAATATGGAAATAAAGGAAATTTTGTTAGCGTGTTGCAAAAGAAACCGTTGCCGTTCAAAGATTTGCTAGACCAAATTTTTGGTGAACATGATGTTGAGCAGGATGACCGCTATTCTCCCCATATGCTTGGCCAACATCTCCAGCAGACTCAAACTTCTTTAGCTAGCAACGATGACACAGTATTTGACCAAATTCAAGAAGTTCAAAGTGCTGAACCAATTACAGATGTGCCTACCAATCATGGAACCTAACCAGCAATTCACATCACATTAAACCGTCGCCCTCCAAGAAGAAGAAGTAGCTTTGAAACACAGGTTGAAAGTGGATTTCAACGTGTAATAGATTCTCATCAAGACATTTTGGAACAACTACGTTCACGAAAAGTGCAGAAGCTATCATATGGTGATGCGACGGTTGTTCTAGAAAAAATACCAATTGAACAACTTGTAGTATTTTGGTGGGCATCAAATAAGCTGTTGAAGAATGAAGCAGATGTCCGTAAAGCATTTATAAAATTGGAGAGTGAAGAAATTAAGATCAGATATTTAGAGAGTTTAGTTGGCATAGATAGATACGAGAACCCATGCCCTCATGTTGATCTGGTAATGACAAGTTAAAACCTCTTTCAGAATGTTGGAATGACTGAAACTAGTTCAATGGGAACTGAAACTGATAGAACTGATTTTATGGGATTACTTCTGATGCAGTCATCTGAGTTAAAACAATCAACAAAAGATACAGCACGTCTAGTCCATATACATGATGATGAAAGTGATGCTGAAAAGCATGATTAAGTATTTTGAGATTTATTATTTTATTTATTTTATGGATTAAGTTTGATATTTATATGGATTTTTTTTTTATAAAACCATGATTTTTTTAAAGAACTATATCAATAACAAGTTTATAAAAATATGTGTAGGACCTTCGTATTTTAGATTTACGTTCTCGTGGAATTGAAAATCTAGAAGAATATGAATTAGTGGAGCTTATGTTATTGGAAGAAGAAGAATTTATGCAAAAGTACATGCATCCATATTAGAATATTACAAAATAAGTTTTTTGTAAGAATCCAATGAACAACGTGTGGGGAAATGGTTGGGAAATAATACGGGAGCAAATCTACAACAATGAAATCTCATGTCATACTCTTATTCGCATGAGCTCATAAGCGTTTATCCGTTTATGTGAGGTCCTTTAGAAAAGTTATGGGTTACAAGAGTCACACAATATTAAAGTCGATGAGAGTGTTGCAATTTTTCTTGTTCTATGTGGTCAAAATGACACTCATCATGACATCGGTTTAAGATTCGGTCATGCTCAGTAGACTATAGGTAGAAAGTTTCATCATGTTCTTGGAGCAATGGTAAAATTGGCAGTTGACTATTTATGGCTAAGAACAACTTATGAGTTTGAAGCAATATTGAATAGTCTACAAGGAGATAAACGATATTGGCCTTATTTTAATGGATCTATCGGGGCTCTTGGTGGAATACATATACTTGTTATGGTGACTACAGGTCGTGATGCATTGCGATTTGTGAACCGGAAAGGAACAACAAGTCTAAATGTTCTAGGAATATGTGATCACGATATGTTTTTTACATATTGTTTCATTGGAATGATAGGATCAACACATGACTCTAGAGTGCTAGATACAGCTATGCGAGATGATCCGTTGTTTCCTAAGCCTCCTGGAGAAAAATATTATCTCATAAATGGTTATGCAAATAGGCGTGGTTATTTAGCTCCGTACCGAAAACAAAGAAAAGAAGGTACTCTATATCATCATCAAGAATTTATAAATTGTGAGCCTCCAAAAAATAGTAGAGAAATGTTCAATAGATGGAACACATCATTACGTTCAGTTATTGAACGTACGTTTAGAGTATGGAAGAAAAAGTGGAGGGTTTTAAATGAATTTCCAAAGTACAACATATCGACACAGAGGAAAGTTATATTTGCAACGATGGGGCTTCACAATTTTATTCGGTGGAACAAAATTAAAGATGTTGATTTTAGGAAGCGACTACGGAGAATAATGGTGTGCATATGCATCAAAGTGAGAATGATTCAGATGATGAAAATGAAGTATGAGGAAATGAAGAAACATCAACCGCAGTTTATATGAACAGCGTTCGAGATCAGATTGCTACACAATTGTGGTCAAATAAAAGATTTGATTCTCGTCGACTATAGATTTGTGTTTTTCTCTTTATTATTATATATATTTAACAATTATAGACTTAGCTCTCATCTAGTATCTCCTAATGAAAAGTTTTTGTCTTGTAGTTATGGATACATGCATTGTAGGCGATTGAAATAGACGTATGTGGAAACATGAAGCTTAGACCAAAAAGCTTGTTTACGTTCATTATTATTTTTAGAGTTAATTATCAACTCTTTTTTTGAAATTGTGTTCCTCTGTTTTAGTTACCATTCAATATAACAATTGGTTATGTTATTTGTCTACAATTTTTCCTTTTATTTTTTCCCGGTTATTCCTTTGGTTTATTTTTCCTATAGTTCATGTTCTTTTTAGAGTGGTCACCAGTTAGACTCGATATATCTTCGTATCAAGTTATACAAAATGAAATAATGACTCATCGTGACAAAAATATGAATCATCATATTCCCTTTTGGTTATCTGCAGTTCATCAAATTTATTAAAACAAAATCATCCTTATTATTTACCCCTACTTTTACTTGAAATATTACTTACATTGTCACTGAACTTACTTTTTAAAAATAACTGATTATTACATAACTAGTGGTTTTCCCTGGCTATGCCCGGGTTTTCTTATATAAATTTTAGTTAAATTTAATTTATTATATTAATTTTGAATATATATAATACCTATATATCGATTTTTAAAAATATAAATCATAAAATGAAGTTTAACTTATTAAATCGTAAACGAACTAATATTGACAGTAGATGTTATATGTTTCTGTTTTAATTATGCTAAGATTTTAAATAAATTTACATGATATTTGATCAAAAACTGTAATGTCTAGATGGGATTACTTGGTTATTGCTTAATGAACTATTTTTTGACAAACTGATGTATTTAATAGTGTCTTTGTATAGGTAATTGTTTTAATCTTCAAACTTTTGACTATGTCTATTATAATATTTTTTGTTTTTGATGTTGAAGAGGGTAATATTTTTCTCCAATTTACTAAACAAAAAACCATAAAATACCATACCTGATAATTCAAGTTTATATAACTTTATATTTATTAGTTTTGTTTAAAATTTTAAAACTTTTTTGAAAAAAATAATTCTATATTTATTTTTGCCAACAATCGTATATTAAAGTACTGTATATTATATTTTGTAATATAATCATTCATAACTACAATAACGCTACTACACTGAGTCTATAATACTTGATAGTTTTAAACAAAATTATATACTGAACTTTTTGTAAGCTTACACGCATTACAGATGCTTGCATGACATTTTGATAATTAATACAATTTTGATTCTTGAATAATTATAATAAACAAGTGATAACATGTGGTGAGGGGTTATTGATTCCACTATTTTAATGGATTTATAAGAAAAAAAATTTGGATTTAGAAATCTTTGAAAAATCATATGATTTAAAATCGAGTAAATAGATTTAAGAATCAAAGATATTGATTTCAAAATGAAAAATAGCTTTTTATGAAAATCAAGGATATCCAAATCTTAATAAATCATATGATTTTAAAATAGAGCAAATAGATTTAAGAATCCAGAATGTTGATTTTAAAATGATTTTAATTGTATTTTCTTTCTCTTTTTTTACTTTCGGTTTTAGAATTGTTGTGTAATTCAGTTTTTTCTCTTTTTGGTTTTGACTCTTGTTGAAGCTTTTTCTTTTCTTTTAAACTCTCATTTTACAGAAATCTTTTGGAAATCAAGGATACTGATTTCAAAATGAAAATAGAACTAAGAATCAAGAATATTGATTTTAAAATCGAACAAATAGATTTAAAAATCAAGGATATTTATTTATATATTTCATATTTAAAGATATGAAAGTTGTCATCCATCTTGAAGAATAGGTTGAAAGTGAGAAAGTTTTTTTTAATTTACTGGACTAAAACTATTTATTAAAAATCATATCATATATAAAAAAATCAATAAAAATTCAAATAAAATAAAATATTTTTAGAATTGGACCTAAAACACTTTCAACAAATGATAGAATGACAAGTATCATCTTTTGCCTCTATGAAGAAAAAAAAACTCTACTTTCTTATATAAGAGATGTATAAATATTTTTTTAGAAAAGCTTTAGAAATATTTTATAAATAATAAATCATATATCACCATTACAATATAAATGTATATATAATATTAATAAAATAAACTAAATATAAGTACATTGTAAAAAAAATCACATTAACTTATATATATCATTTTTCATAAATACAAATATATATATTAAAATTATTTGTGTATTTTCGTTAAAATAGAAAACTAAAAAATAATAATGAAATAGAAAATTTGTTTTAATTAATGTTTAAATTTTTATTAGCATTTATTGGTTTACTAAGTAAACTAAAGTTTTTAAATATAATAAATATAGTAAATATAAAATATCATTAAAAGAAGGTGATACATGCCATTTTTCCTCCAATGAGTGAAAAAACCAACTTTATTATATAAGATTTTATCTACGTCGTATGCAACAGAAACATTACCGTAAAATGTGAATCTCCACTAACCTCCCTGGATCTCATGCCACTACTAATCCCTCGTACATACACCAACTCCCCTTCACGTTTTCATCTCCTATCTAATTCCCTTAATTTTTTTTTATAAATACGTTTACTGCTGTCATAAACTTTTTTAAGAGCGAACTTTACCAATAAAAATTTCAATAAAACTAACTACAGGTATTGTACAAGAAATTTTTAACTAAGATATTACATGATTATAAAATAGTATTCCCACCGTTTTCTATTACGTGATACTTTCTTTTTGTACAAATATTAAAAAATTATCTTAATCAAAATTATTATTAAGATATTTTCCATATTACTTTTTGTAAAACAAAAAAAAATACCATTTGTAATCAAAATGCTTTTAAATAGGTCTGGATATCCAGATCCTCAATTCGGGTCGGGTCTTATTGAGTCTGGATTTGTTGGATCTTGGAAATTTAGACCATGTAGGTATCTGGTATCCAGATTCTCGATTCGGGTCGGATCTTTCTAGTCTTATTGGATAACAAACAAACATTATAAACTTTAGGAAACATGGACTACCCGTGACAGTCCATTTGAGATAACAAAATTATGTTTCATACTTAGATGCGTTTTGAGCCAAAAAGAGTAGGCGACGACGTGTCATTCTTACAAGAGGTCTGAAAGCATTAGACGAATTTCCGAGATGACCCTTACTCATTCGAAGTAAGATGACAGTTACACCCCTGTCAAGGAAATTGATTTTATTTTCATTTTTATGTTTCTGTCCTAAATATTCGTAATCGTAACTCTTCTTTTCTTCTTCAGATCCCAATTAGAAAACTCCACACCCTAATCCCCCATACATCTTCTTCCTCCCCGATCCCGTTGCTTTCCCTTATCCTTCTATCATGGCTTGCATCAAGGGGGTGGGCAGATCCGCCTCCGTCGCGCTGGCTCCCGACGCTCCTTACATGGCCGCCGGAACCATGGCCGGAGCCGTGGATCTCTCCTTTAGCTCTTCCGCCAATCTGGAGATATTCAAGCTCGATTTTCAGTCCGAGGATCGCGATTTGCCACTGGTCGGTGAAATCCCGAGCTCGGAGCGGTTCAATAGACTCGCGTGGGGAAAAAACGGATCTGGTTCAGAGGAATTCTCCATGGGCCTAATTGCCGGTGGGCTTGTCGATGGGAATATAGATCTGTGGAATCCGCTTTCTCTAATCGGGTGGGTACTCTAATTTTAGGATCATCTTAATTTGAATTTTCTTTTTGGTGTCAATTTTTCATTGTTTAACTCGAACACGTGTCACGTTTTTCAGTTCTAAGTCGAGTGAGAGTGCACTCGTTGGACATCTTTCAGTTCACAAAGGGCCTGTAAGTTGTTTTTCTCTTGCTAACCGCTTGTATTGTTTAAGCACTTACTGATTTATTTGATGTGAGCGTGGCACGTTTTGCAGGTACGTGGTCTTGAGTTTAATCCTTTCACCCCAAATCTACTTGCCTCTGGTGCTGATGATGGTGAAATTTGCATTTGGGATCTAACTAAGCCTACTGAGCCTTCTCATTTTCCCCTTCTCAAGGTAAAACCACCCAAGCGCACTTTTGATTTTGCGTTACTGTTGTATAAACGGAGTTCATCTTCAAGTGTTTTGAGTTTCAATCGTCTTGCAGGGTACTGGTTCTGCCACGCAAGGTGAAATCTCTTTTATTTCGTGGAACAGAAAAGTTAGCCAGATATTATCATCTACCTCATACAATGGCACTACTGGTGAGATTTCCCTTTCTTTCTCTGTCTCTTGTTCATTTCCTCTCCACTCTAATTCTGCTTCTGCTCATTATTTTTCCAGTAATATGGGACTTGAGGAAGCAGAAGCCAATTATTAAGTAAGTATTTCACTTCTCTAAAGTGATATTAGTGAGGCGCTCTTTTCTTGCTACATAAATCTGGTCATTTATTTCAATCAACAGCTTTGCAGATTCTGTTCGACGTCGGTGCTCTGTTTTACAATGGAACCCTGACATTGCTACTCAGATCATGGTTGCATCAGATGACGACACTTCACCTACTCTCAAGGTACAGGAATCATTTAATGCCTTTGCTTAATATACTTCAAATTTGGTTCATTTAGTAACCTATGGTATCCACAATCAGCTCTGGGACATGAGGAATACAATGTCACCTGTGCGCGAGTTTACTGGACACGAAAAAGGTATTTTCATATCATTTCTATACAAATTCTTTTTTTTCCCAGTGTTTCTCTATATCCTGATATCTTGTTGAGGACCCAAACCATTGATCTGACAAAACCAGTGCCCACAAACCCATCTCTGAACCTAGTCATTACGTGGGATATAATTTCATAGTCCTGCTGTCTTCCTTCTTTTTAGTGTTAGCGTCTTGGTGAATGTTAGTGATGATACTTCTTATCTTACAGGCGTGATTGCAATGGAGTGGTGTCCAAGTGACAGTTCATATCTTCTTACCTGTGCTAAAGACAACCGAACTATTTGCTGGGACACTAATACAGCAGAGGTATGGAGAAGGAATTGATGAAAGATGCATATCTGCCAGCTTTCATCCGTTACTTAGTTAACTAATCGTCATTTTGACTGAACTTGATCAACTATATCAGATTGTGGCCGAGTTACCTGCTGGCAACAATTGGAATTTTGATGTTCATTGGTATCCAAAGATTCCTGGAGTTATATCAGCATCTTCATTTGATGGGAAAATTGGCATCTACAACATCGAGGTATCTTGTTAGTTTGCTCTTCAGTGTTTTTAAATTATTCTATTCTAGATGAAATTTATGTATGAGGAAAACCGAACCTGTGAATATTAATTTGGATCCTAGTTTATTGCTCTACTGGTCATCAAATGTATTAGTATTTAACTTTATGCACTTTCCGTTTGAGATTTACCATTCTAGCAATACTTGTTCGACTCTCGATCTCCCTTTTCCCCACTAAGAATAAATTAAAACTATGTATCCAACGCCTTTGGTGCAGGGTTGCAGTCGCTATGGTGCTGAAGAGAATACTTTTGGTACTGGTAATGTCGTTTACCATTCTGAACAATTTGTTTATCATTCCTATGTTGCAGAATGGAATAGCACCAGAACCAACCTCACTTCTTATAATCTCTTTATGCAGCTCCCTTAAGAGCACCAAAATGGTATAAGCGCCCAGTTGGTGCATCATTTGGATTTGGAGGAAAGCTTGTATCCTTTAATGCAAAGGCCCCTGTTAAGGGGGCCTCAAGCATTATATCTGAGGTAGGTATTTACGAATTATACTTCTTATGCTCTAGCCCTTTCTTCGTTGATTCTTATTTGGCTAAATGCCATGTCCAGGTTTTTCTGCACAGCCTGGTAACAGAACAGAGTTTGGTGAGTCGAACTTCTGAATTTGATGCCGCAATAGAAAATGGTGATAAGACTTCTCTAAGGGGTTTGTGTGAGAAGAAATCTGAAGAGACTGAGTATGCCATCCTTGTGATTAAATTGTTCATTGTCTCCCTTAGCTGTCTCATCAGACAACTCAATTTGCTCTGTTTCTATTCGCTGATTTTGCAGATCCGAAGAGGAGAAAGAGACATGGGGCTTGCTGAAAATCATGTTCGAAGATGAAGGAGCTACAAGGACAAAGTTGATCAGCCATCTCGGCTTTAGTTTGCCTTCTGTGGAAACGGATCAGGCAGTGGATGGGCTCTCGTCAGATCTAAATAGCCTTGGACTAGAAGATACTGCGGCACATGCACTGGAGCCTTTGGAAACTAACGAGGCAGCTGCATTTGCTATGGACAATGGAGAAGACTTCTTTGACAACTTTCCTGCTAAACCTGATACACCTGTATCTACTAAATCTGCCAAAGATTTTGTGCCTCCTGAGACAGATTTTACTGGCAAATTAGAAGAAACTCAAGAAATCCCAGAAGAAGAGGAAGAAAGTTCTGACCTAGTATTTGATAATGCCATCCAGCGTGCTTTAGTTGTTGGCGATTACAAGGAAGCGGTTGATCAGTGTATATCGGCAAAGAAAATGGCTGATGCTTTAGTTATTGCTCATATTGGTGGTACATCATTGTGGGAGAGCACTCGTGAGAAATATCTGAAGACGAGCAGGGCACCTTACATGAAGGTATATTTATAGTTCTTTCTAGCTTGATATGTAGGTAAGTGCCATCGACATTCCTGTGTATGGTCGCAAAGCCTCTAAACTACAGTATGTTAATCTGTTTTTAGGTTGTTTCTGCGATGGTAAACAACGATCTCACAAGCCTTGTCTATACAAGGTCGCACAAGTTCTGGAAAGAAACTCTTGCTCTCCTCTGTACTGTAAGCTTCTCGAACTCGTACTTCTCATGCCTTACTCTCTTCAGTGTGACATGATGCATGGAACTGCTAGGTGATTCTGGTCACTACAAAACTACTTAGTAATGAATGCTTCTTTTTATTCATTGGCAAACAGTTTGCACAAGGAGAACAATGGGCCACCTTGTGCGATGTCCTTGCCTCAAAGCTGATGGATGCTGGTAACACTTTGGCTGCAGTTCTGTGTTACATTTGCGCAGGCAATGTTGATAGAACAGTAGAAATTTGGTCAAGGAGCCTTGCGAACGAGCGTGAAGGAAGATCTTATGCTGAGCTTCTCCAAGTGCGTATCACTTTCCAGGTTTTGTGCATAAATTTAAGTTGGGCTTCTCTGCTCATATTTTCTGCCGTTTTATAGGATCTTATGGAGAAGACTCTTGTTCTTGCTTTGGCAACTGGCAACAAAAAGTTCAGCGCATCTCTTTGTAAACTCTTTGAGAGTTATGCTGAGATATTGGCCAGCCAAGGGCTTCTTACAACGGCAATGAAGTACTTGAAAGTTTTGGATTCTGGTGGCTTGTCACCTGAACTTTCTATATTACGTGATCGTATTTCCCTTTCTGCAGAACCTGGTGCGTATGTTGTAGTAATTTTGATTTATTATATAGAGTATTGAATTCGGATGATAAAATTAATGTACTTTATACTGCATCTGCAGAGACTGACACTACAGCTTCAGGCAACATTCAGCTTCAAAGCACCATACCATATAATCAGGTCTTTTCATTTTTTGTCTACAACTGTCTTTAAACTGAAGCCTGGATATCTCTGTGGACAACATACTTAGCATGTATTCGTCTGTGTCTTAGGAGCCAACGCAGTCGCAACAAAACATTATCAGTAACCCATATGAGAATCAGTATCAACAACCATACACTGATTCTTATGTTGGAGGATATGTGCCCCCAGCGTCATATCCACCCATGCAACAAGCAACCATGTTTATGCCTCAACAAGCTCCGCCAGCACCGCAGGTTCTTGAAGTTTTGGCTTTGTTGCACTTCATTTTACCCATTCTTCGTTAGACCATCATGCATAAATGGTCATCATTATCAGGCAGTTTTCAGATGTCTAGATTAGGAGATTTTCCGTTTATTTATAGAGTAATAGTTCAAGTTTTTGAAATAGGAAGACATCATTAGGAAGACATCATCTGGATTATGTATGTGGTGGCCAAGTGCCTGGTTCTTTAATAAACCCCCCCACCCACCCCCCACNACTCCTCAAAACCGAAAATATACAACCTCTTAATGCCATGTCAGGAAAATGGGATGATGTAGACCTGTTGCTTCAGTTTGGTTCTGTTAAATATCTATCTTAGAGGTCGTGAGGAAAAGTTTGTACTGGGTAACTGTTTTCTTTGTTATGTATAGGTTTCTTGGGCCAATTTCTTGACAAACGTTTGTATATGCAGGCATCATATCCTCCGGCACCTGCAAGCAATGCTCAGCCATCCATGAGAACTACTTTTGTTCCGTCAACTCCCCCTGCACTGAAGAACGCAGACCAGTACCAGCAGCCAACCATTGGTTCTCATTCATTCACTGTATGTTACTTTTCTTTGACTCAACTTTGATTGATTTTTCCCGCACTTTCTAGTTTGATTAAGCTAACAGCTATTTGATCAGGGACCATCTAACAATGCATACCCCGTTCCTCCTGGTCCTGGTTCATATGCATCTTCTGGCCCTTCACAAATTGGGCAGTATCCTAACCCTTCACAAATTGGGCAGTATCCAAACCCTTCACAAATTGGGCAATATCCTAACCCCAACATGCCTCAAGTAGTTGCTCCAGGAGCTAGACCCATAGGATTTACACCTATGTCAACTCCAGGAGTTGCTCCAAGATCTGTTATGGGTTCTGTGCAACCAGCAAGTCCTCCAACTCAGCAGGCAGCTATGCAGGCAGCCCCTGCCCCTGCCCCTGCAGCTCCGCCACCAACTGTTCAGACTGCAGATACTTCCAACGTCCCAGGTATTGTACAACGTGACATTAGCACCAACTTTTTTTTTTGAAACACCCATTAGCACCATTTGTCTATTCTTTTCTCGACATAAAAAATAAAAATAAATTGTCATATATATCCAGCCCACCAGAAACCTGTGATAGCAACATTGACAAGGCTTTTCAATGAGACATCGGAAGCACTGGGAGGCGCACGTGCAAATCCTACCAAGAAGCGTGAGATAGAAGACAACTCAAAGAAATTAGGAGCTCTGTTTGTGAGACTGAATAGCGGAGACATCTCCAAGAATGCTGCCGATAAACTCGCACAGCTCTGCCAGGCTTTGGATAATCATGACTTCGGTGCAGCCCTTCAGATACAGGTAAGTTAGCGCAATGTGACCTCTGGTTACTTGCTATTTGGTGTTTTAGCAGGCAAACAAAGAAAGAAGCATTCAGTGTTTTGTTTTTTTTTTAACTCTTGGAACAGGTACTTCTGACGACCAGCGAGTGGGATGAGTGCAACTTCTGGCTTTCGACATTGAAGCGGATGATCAAAGGCAGGCAAAATATGCGGTGATTGTACTCTTTTTTTTGGTCTTCCTTTCTGGGTCGGTTAAATTATAAATCCACAGGAGAGACATGTGTATCAGACTCCTTTTGCTTTCTTAATTTTTGTTCTCTTTTAGAACGCCGCTACTGCTGTTGTTCCAGTCTCTTTTTTTTTTTCTATATATACATCTATGAACAAGATTACCCACATTTGTTTAAGAAAAGATAGAATCAGACTGCTTCAGGACAAGTTTGATTTTTCTCTTTTTTCTGTAATATTTACTCTATATTTTGTTTATTATATGTACGTTCACAATGTTTGTCATATTGAAAACATTAAAATTTTGCCACCAGACAAACATTAACATGCATCTAGTGGGGAGTTTGATAGTGTTTGTTCTCAGAGAGAGAGAGAAGTAAAAGAGGAGAGCTATTTTATGCCTGAAACATTAAGAGTTAGAAGAGAAAGAAAATGCCCCTGAGAAGCTAATACACCATTCATTGCTCGGTTCTCATACTGACAACAATATACATATACAGTTTACATACGTGCAACTAAACCATTATATGCAATCCAATACAATGGGCATGTTAAAACAACAGTGTCACAACCACATTTTTATCATTGTTTGTCTGATCCCATGTTAAAGATATCTTAACACCAATTTTACTCTCTTGAATCAAAGTATATAGCATCTGCAGCCTTCACCTCCCTTTGGTCCTTCAAACCACCGGTCCCATCCCAAGTCAAAAGGTCCCCTGGTCCTGCCAAAATTAACAATCCCCATAGCATTTGTCAGCTGTTAAATAAAAAAAGAGGTTTTGAAGGAGGAAAAGTAACTCACAATGGCAAGAGAGGGTCGGGTGCTTTCTCGATGACACAGAGCAGCCTATGAACCATACAATTTGATCAGCACAAGTTTCAGGGAGCTAATACATGTTTTTCTTTGAAGCGGAAATATAGGGTGAAATTCCATTTACTTACTCCTCACACACGGTTGATACAATATCAGTCTGCCCGAGCCCTTCCAACTCTTTCTGGATGGATATAGTAGAGATGAATGAAGTTACGTTTATAATGAAATGTTGAAACACAAGCAACAAGAGATGGAGGAGATACAAAAAAGTCGAGACATACAATCCTCAACTGAACAGAACAGAAGATCATACGGATGAGAAAATATAAAGGGGATGGAACTATGATCACAGTTATAAGACTAAGGTAAGTAGATCCCTCGTAATAAACTCAACAGAAAGACATTTGTACAGTGGCTGGTCTGGTCCAACGAAGAACCAATCAAACTTCCATAGGAGAGTGGCGAATCAAAGGAGAATAGACTTAGTGCTTTGATTTGGAACACATGAGCCCACTCTCCCTAACTGTTTTTAGAAAACAATCTACCATACCATAATCCAACTCAAATAGTTGCAAAATTTTACTATCATATGGATGAATAGTTGCTCTAAAGTATAAAAAAAAAAGGAACTTAACTAGGAACCGCCAATTAATGAATAGAGAGGAAGAAGGTTAGTACCTCCAAGAAACTGACTTCCTGTTCAACGCGACCAAGCTCAGCAAGGATCCTGTGCTTCCCCCGTGCATCTCCTACAGAAGCAGCTTCCTGCTCCGTTTCCTCCATATCTCTCATCAACTCACTCGATTAATGACAAGGCCACGCTACTTACTATGTTTACCGATTTTCACCCCCTCTCTCTCTCTCTCTCTCTTTCTCTCTCAGATCTGACACCGTCAGAAAAGAAACTCTAATCATAGAGACCCCTCCCCCCTCCGTACACGTTTGAACTTGTTTTTTCTTTTTTCCAAAAGTCAAGTTTCTTTTACAATTTACACATTTTTAAAGCCCAATGAGCTCACAACTATTCAATATGCCCATAACATAAGAATTTGTCTGTTATGCACAATACAAACTCAAATCTATTGTGGAATTAAATTATTCCATAAGTTCAGGGTCGATTTTGGGATATCCATACAGAATTCAGGTTCAGATATTTGTAGTGGGGTTTAGATTATGAATTTTTGGTGTTATCATTTGTTATTTTATTGTGAGAACTATGTAATTTTGTCAAAGATACAAAAATCCATGATTCATATGGAATCAGACTGCTCTGATCAGCTGGACATGGTTGTTCACCCTACCGATTGGCTGGTCTTTTCCTCCGAGCTAGTCTCACTCTGGTTTTTACGAGTTAGATTTTTGGAGTTCAGCATCGTTCACATACCTAGGACTAGGAACTTGCTTGCAGATTCTCTTGCCGAGAAGGCGAGATTAGTGGTGTTCCTTTTTCCCATATAGATCAAATTCGTCAGACGGAGCGTCTCTTCGGAACGTCTCAAGACCGTCTACTATTTGATCTTGAAAGATGGACGTCGAAGAAAAAAATCCACTAATCATGAATTGCTTAACCCAAACACGAACAATATTAGAAAAAATCATCTACAATTTTTTCTTTCTCATTCTCAGTGAAAAAGAAACCAAATAAAATAAACTTTTACAGTGTTTAATTTGTTTAATTTAAATGATATTTTTGACACTGACTTTGAAATCATAAATATTAATGTCGTAATCGACTAAACAGTTTGGGTACAAATAAAAGAGAGTGAGAGATGTATGTATATGGTAGAAATAATAATGACATTGGACCTGGACCGTAGATTGAGCTCATAAAACACAACTGTGAGATAGGTTTGGACCGGGGTTTAGTAAGCCCACAAAAGAGTCTCGCGGGATGGGTTCTTGCTGGACCTTCGGTAATATGGGCCAAATGTGGACTGTGGGATAGTGAATACCGCCCGAACCTAAAACTTCTTTGACTCTTTCATCTGAAAAATGGGAGATTGAGGATGGCGATCTGGTTTCGATCTTCACCGACAAACTATGGAGCTCTGGTGACGTGGTTCGTCGTCTGGCGATTCTTATAGTCTATCATGCGTATTCAATCTTTATTAGTGGAACTTCTCAGAACCACAAGATGAACTTTACAAGCTCACATTTTACCGGTGAAACTGATGGAGACGATGGGTTAATGACCTGAAAGCATGTCCTAGAGTGGTCTGAAGTGTTGTAGAGCATCTTGTTGCATCTGGCTGAGTGTATGATCATCTGTTATACAGATCGATGAGCAAAAACTTGTACATATAACGGGACAGATTTGAACAGCCATTCCAAAAACCACATCCTATGTGGACCTGACCCACTTGAAAACAATTCCGCTGCAGCTGGGACGTTACAACAAGTTTGTCATCCCGTAAACTTTACAGTAAAGTGTATACATATGTATGTTGGAATAACTTCAAGCAATATTTTAGGTTCTAGATATATCCAATCAGGTTTATGTATTCAAACTTATTCAACGGAGAACCCGATCAGATATTTTATCATTTCAACTCGGATTTTTTTGGGTCTGATTCCTAACAAAAGAGCTTGTGTGATCGCAGACATTAAAGCTCATAAAAACCCAAAACTATTGTGCAATAAAATGATAATTCAACAAATCTGTAAAGCAACAACAACCAAATGTAAGAGTATCATATCACAACAACAAAACTCTCAAGTCATCAGCAGAATGCAAATCGATGGATGAGTGATCAATCTGCATAGCTAACCAGACCTCTCTGGCCCGGTGGAGAGGTTGAGGGAGAAGCACTGAGCGATTCTTCACGAGAGGTGGCTCCTCCTCTGATGGGAGATCCTTTTGGACCGAGACGAGATTTAAGGTCTTGGCTAATTGGCTGCCTCTTTCTAGGGCTCCCGCTAGGGCTACGATGCCCTCCTGGACTTTGGCTCCTGCTTCTCTCTCTGAAACGTCTGCGCTGCCCTTCTGGACTTTGGCTCCTGCTTCTGTCTCTGAAACGTCTGCCCTGCCCTTCTGGACTCCCTGAAATGCTTCTTCTTCTCCGGTTGTACCTACGCCAGAACAACAAGTTAGTTAATGTAAGCATGCCGTATTAGGAGTTTATCTTCATAAGCTTAAGCCAGAATCTATATATACATAAATATAAGAGAGCGAACCTTGGAGGGCTCCTTCTCCTGGGTGGGCTCCTAAAGCGTCTTCTAGGTGAGCGATCAGAGTAACTCCTGTTGCTAGCATACCTCCAGTATATTTAAAACAAAACAGGGCTTTTAGTTGTTATTTACAGTGACGTTGTGAGAATGTGTAGATTAAGTTACCTGTCCGTGTTCCTGTCCTGAAAGCTTCTTCTATTAGGCCAGTGCCGAGGAGGGGAACGCTCAGGAGATGGTGTACGGTACTTCCGAGCAAACGAATAACGTTCTGTGAACCCACGCCCCTTTCGGATGCGCTTGGGCTCACCATTGGGAGATGGGCTTTTTGAAGGTTTCCTCACTGCTAGCTTCTCGCGAGGACTTCTGCTCCTATTTCCAAGATCTCTCACAGGGCTTCTACTAGGACTTTTGCTCCTAGGAACTGGGCTCATACTCCTATATAGCAATAGAAAACGGCGAAGTTTGCCAGGGACCACAGTCTCAGTACACGAAAAATGCAAAAGCAGAGCTGAAAAACAAAAAAAAGGTAGGGGGATAAACCTTGATTTCACCGAGTCAGCACGTTGATCATCAACTTTCGTGGCCTTTCCATTGCCAACAAGTTCATCCTCCCTCTTCTCCTCAAGACTAGGAATAGCAGCATTCCTTACAGGCACAGCTGCCGAAACTTTTCCTCCATCTGTTCCAAGAAGAGATTCTCATTACTTGCAATGCCACTTACACATACGATAACTAGTTGCCAAAAATATAGGCTGAAAGAACCAAGTTTCTTAACAGTTACACTTACCTTTAGCTTTCTTTGACTTTTCGTGGCCCATTCTCTCGTCATCAGAATTGCTACTCTCGGTGTCACTTAAACTATCCCTGTTTCTGTTGAAAAAAAGCAGTAAAGAATCAAGCAAAAGAACTATTAAGCTAAATACCATTAACTAATAGCCAGACCTGCGCTGAGGTGGTTTAGTCTTTTTCCCGTTTCGTCCTTTAATCTTTCTTTCCCCACGTCGGCCTTTGTGTCTCTTTGTTGACCTCCTCTTCCTACGCTTCCCATCACTGGAAGAACTAGACTCATAAGAGGATGAATCTGTTTCTGATTCAGAATCTGATTCAGAACTTGAGCTATATGAATCAGACGAAGACGAGTATCTTCTTTTGCGCTTAACCTTCTTCTCCCGAGAGTCTTTCCTGCCTTTGCTCGATTTTTTCAATTTCCCTGGAAATCATTAATCATAAAAATCTATAGCCATTCAATTCCACATTCAAAAATTAACTTCACTTACCTTTATCTTTTTCAGCAGCATCCTGAGCTTTTAACTGAGACATTTCGCCACAGTCGATTATTTTGACATTGCTAGTTGGTTTACCATCAGTCGTCCCCACAAGCTCCATTTTCTTGACAACTTCCATTCCCTTCACGACTTTCCCAAATACAACATGCTTCCTACAAAATGATTCAAGAAAAAATCAGGACATTTGAAACTGCATTATAAACCTTATGACTGTTTTTTTACAATGACTTTAATTTCTAAAAAAAATAACCAATATCTATGGAACATGCATTACCCATCGAGATGTGGCTGGCGTTTGAAAAGGATAAAAAACTGTGACCCGTTGGTGTTTGGGCCACAATTTGCCATCGAAAGGTATCCACCTTCTTCGTGGTCCAGTTCAAAATTCTCATCTGTAGAGGCAACAGGATATGCTGAGAGTTTTATTCCAACTCCAGAAAACGGAATATAGAGCTTATTAAAAAAAAGTTATACCTGAAAACTTCCCACCATAGATACTCTCCCCGCCGGTGCCTGCAAATCAACAAATCAGGGCATAATTATAAGGGTCAAGCGGTACATGGTAATAAGTTTCACGAGATGGGATTCAAAAGCCCTAATACTCCCTTCTAAAGTGCCATTTTTCATCATATGTAAATACATAAATTAGCTCCTTGTGTAGGTTCCTTGAACTTTTGTGTTAACTAACTACATCGCCTCTACGACCATAAGGTATAAATACAATATATGCGGCCTTAGATAATGGCGCATGATGTGATTTCAAGTTATATATAATATGGTTAAAAGATAAAAGGTTTGAAGAATACCATTTCCGTTAGAAAAATCACCACCCTGCAAAAAAAAGAAAGATAGAGAAGCGCTAAGGGATAAAGAATTCGTTTGCACATCATAAGCATACAAAATGAGAGTAGAACGGATACATACCTGAGCCATGAATCCTTTAATGACTCGATGGAAAGATGATCCTTTGAAATGCAATGGCTTCCCAGTGGTCTTTCCAAGGCCTGCCTCACCTGCAATGAAATGTGAAGCCCATTAATTCTTTTCAAGTTGAAATGACCACACACAAAACATACAAACACGAAAAAAGGGTTGTTCTTTAAGACATTCCTAAAACCTCTTTAGCTATCTAGTAGATAAATCATGCAATGCTATGCTATAGTAAACAATATACAGAGTTAACAACAGTGATAGTGAAGTGAGGAAGTTAAGAGGTACCTGTGCAGAGGGCACGAAAGTTTTCGGCAGTCTTGGGGACAACATCAGCAAAAAGCTGCGAGAGACAGAAACTTTAAAGAAAGAAGAGGGAGACAGAGCAAAAGAAAGAAATGGAGAGTGGATGTAATGTAAATACCTCAATGACAATACGTTCAAGGGGATCCCCGCCAATGGAGACATCCAAGAATACTGTAGGATTCTTCGTCTTCTTACTAGTCATTATTGCTACACCAAGGAAAAGGAAAAGGAAAGAAGAGGTTTAAAAAGATAGATAGGCTTATATCATAACAACCGTAAATAATGAATCAAGAACACTATCAAGTGTGCAGTTAACATGATTTGAAGCAGTCAAGACAATATTAAAACCCATGCGATAATCACAAAGTCTCTACTGAAACCATAAATAAAAGTTCAAATATCAGATCTGTCAACCGACAAAAAAATAAAACCCTAAACCTCCAAAAAAAATAAGCAAGACATGCTGGAAAATCAGTGAATACAGATATATATAGAGATACCTTAACGGATGGTCCGCGATAATCAGGAGGATTAATCGACCGATATAAGTATGAAACAAAGATTCTGGCTCGCTTCGCCTGTGTTCGATTTAAGCAAACAAGCAAGTAAGGTTGGTCGCTCGACTCACCTTGAAAGAAAAATAAATTTTTATCCCAGTAATAATTAATATAATCTACGGTTGTCTGTTCGCCACGTGCGAAAACAGAACTTTCACCAGTTGTTTTCGTCAGCCCGCTTTAGTCTCCTCAGGCCTGATGGGCCTCGCTTGAAAAATGAAAAATCAGATTCGCAGCAGCTTCTACGTCCAGTCTCACCAAAAGAAATCAAGGATGTCTTGTTTGCAATACCAAGTAATAAATATCCGAGACGATGGTTTTAACTCTGAATTTACAAGTCTGTCTGGGAGATCATTGGGACAGAGTTCATAACCACAGTGCAAGCTTTTTCGTTAAAGGGTTTTTTCCAAAAGGAATTAATTCAACGATTTTAGCCTTGATTCTGAAGAAAGAGCAAGCAACTGAGATGAAGGACTATAGGCCGATATCGTATTGCAATGTGCTATACAAAGTGATTTCAAAACTCATCGCCAACAGACTAAAATTGATCCTTTCCAAATTCATCGCTGCAAATCAATCTGCTTTCGTCAGTGAGAGGCTCTTAAACGAAAATCTCTTTCTTGCCACAGAGATAGTAAAAGATTAACATAAGGACAGTATTTCATCGCGATGTGCCATCAAGATAGATATCTCAAAAGCTTTCGACTCTGTCCAATGGATTTTTCTGCTCAACTGTCCTCCCGGCTATGAATTTCCCACCACTGTTTATTCATTGGATCTCGCTCTACATTTCTATTGCGTCTTATTCTGCAAGTAAACGAAGAATTAAAGGGTTATTTCCAGAGTAAGAGAGGTCTTCGTCAAAGTTTTTCGCTATCGTCATACCTATTTGTCATTGCGATGGATGTTCTATCTACTCTTCTGGACAAAGCAGCAAGTGTTCAACGTTTTGAGTACCACCCTCGCTGCAAGAACTTGGGATTAACTCACTTGAGTTTTGCTGTTGATTTGATGGTACTTTCTGATGGAAAAACATGTTCTGTAGAAGGCATTATTGATGTGTTTGATCAATTTGCTAAGGCTTCTAGGCATTGTTGATGTGTTTGGGTATCACCATACCTATTTGTCATTGTGATGGATGTTCTATCTACTCTTCTGGACAAAGTAGCAAGTGTTCAACATTTTGGGTACCATCCTCGCTGCAAGAACTTGGGATTAACTCACTTGAGTTTTGCTGTTGATTTGATGGTACTTTCTGATGGAAAAACACGTTATGTAGAAGGCATTGTTGATGTGTTTGATCAATTTGCTAAGGCTTCTGGGGTAGAATAAGTATGGAAAAGACAACAATATTTTTAGCAGGAGTCACAGAGGAGGTTTAACTTGAAATTACAAGCAGATTCAGGTTTACTTTGGGGGTACTCCATGTTCGCTATCTACCTCTTGTTACCAAATGCATGGGAGTAAATGATTATCAGTCTCTGCTGGAGTCAATACGGAAGCGCATAGGGACATGGACTAATAGATATCTGTCTTTCGCAGGGAGCCTAGTACTTATTGGCTCGATTCTATGGAGTTTATCAAGTTTTTGGTTATCTGCATATCGCCTTCCGAAAGCTTGTATACATGAGATTGAAAAAAATTGTTCATCTTTTCACTGGTCAGGATGTGACTTGAATCCACAGAAAGCAAAACTGGCTTGGGAGAAGGTATGTAAACCCAAGGATGAAGGAGGTCTTGGTCTTAGATCACTCTTGGAAATCAACGATGTTACTTGTCTAAAGCTCTTTTGGTGTTTGATATCTAATAGAACTTATCTGTGGGTGAAATGGATACAAACCAATTTACTCAAGCATGAGTCTACCTGGTCAATAAAAGAAGATGATAAAAAGGGATCTTGGATGTGGCGGAAAATGAAGATCAGGAACATAGCGAGACAGTTTTGCAAAGTTGATGTCAAGAATGGTACTACTACGTCTTTTTGGTATGATAACTGGTCACCGATGGGATGCCTTATAGACTTAGTAGGGTTGAGAGGCCAAATTGATATGGGTATTGGCATGGCTGATACGGTCCTCACTGCACTGACAAAGAGAAGGAGAAAAAACCATCGATCAGAAGTGTTTCTCTCAATAGAGCAGAACCTGAGAATTATAGTTCCATCTGAGGCAGCTGATGAGACTTTATGGAAGGGAAAGAATGACGTGTAGAAGCTGAAATTTATTACACCGGACACTTGGAACCATATTCGCTCTACAACGAGCAAGGTTTCATGGCACAAAGTCCTCTGGTTCAACCAAGCAACACCTAAATTTCGGTTTTGTACTTGGCTTGCATTACGAAACCGTTTAACAACGGGTGATTGTATGGTGGCATGGAATGTTGGTATAGATGGTAGCTGTGTCTTTTGCAGTCAGCACTTGGAAACTTGAGACTTCTTTTTTTCTCATGTTCTTACATGCACTTCCACAGTGTGGAGGAAGCTGGTTCAGAGCCTTTATGGAGTTCACTTCTCTACAAACTGGTCTACCATTGTGGAGTTTTTGTCCCAATCCGAGGAGGACCATGTGACTTTCTTCCTAGCTCGATACGCCTTCCAAGCTGCAATTCACACTGTTTGGAGGGAGAGGAATGCTCATAAGCATGGTGAGGCTCTATCCTCGCAGAAAATCATCATCATGTTTATTGATAAGGCTGTCCGGAACAGACTGATGTCTTTACAAAGGAACAACGGAAGGGTTTTGGGAGGTGCATACCAAACTTGGATTGGAGCTGTCCAAATCTAATCTATCTCTGTGAACTTTTATGGGTTTCAAATTTTCTAGTTCTGATTTTTTTTTTTTGAAAAAAGTCATAGAACATGTAGCAACAACTGTAACTGTGTAAGCCTCCGTGGTTGACATGATACAAGTGCGAAGAGCGCGTGCTCAAAGAATGTCTTGGCGTGCCGCCAAGGCCAAGTTCTCAGGATTCTCCAAAGACAAGTGCTCTGCTGCTTTTTTACGGAGAGGGATTGGTCTGGATAGCTTCAATGACAGAGGACATCACGTTGCTAGCTTCACTGGTTCCGGCCAAACGCAGAGCCAAGGATCTTCTTCTTCTTCTTCTTCTTCTTCATCCTCCTCTAAACCAAAATGTCGGAGTTAAAAACGATTTCTCTAAGTTTTTTTTATTTTGTTTTTGTGGGTATTGTATGAGAGTTTTTGATTCATGTGAAGCATTTTTAAGTCACTAGTGCCATGATGAACATGCTTCTTCTTCTTTTTTGTGCAAACTTTGTTTACATTCAAAGCTCATTGTTTTTGGATGCTCTTCTTGGATATGTTTAAGCTTGGTGCAGCGTGGAATTCTAACATGTGTGCGGTTCTATATAACCTATTCATCAACTCTTGCTTCTGTGTTTCAGGCCAGTGTTGCAACGCCTAGAGCTATTAGGAGGCAAAAAAGAGTTGAGAATGTATTTGGTGGACACGTTAGTGGAGGTCAACTTCATTTGTTTTTTATCTATATAAAGGTCAACTTCTCTTATCTCTCTTGGTTGTCGTCTTCACATGAATGAATAAGAAAGAGATTATTAGAGGATCCACATTTCTTGACAAGGAAAACGGAAACTGCTACGAAGTTTCTCTTTTTCAAACTGCTGATGATGATTATAGCTTTTTTTGTCCTACAAGACCGCTGTCTCTATTAAACTATTCAGTTTCTTTATTTGGGTTTTGTGGAAAAGTAGACAAACTTGTTCTTTGATTCATTCGTAGTGTAAATCCACTTAGCAAACCAAGTTGCTGTAGAAGATTCAAAAAGCTTTGTCTCTTTTTCTTTGTTTCCAAATTGTGCCAAAACGTATCAGTTATCACTTAGCGCGAGAAATTGTCATTTCTTGTTACTTGTCCTTGCAGACTAAGCATTGAGCAAGTTGGTACACGCACGTTATTGCTCATCATTCTAAAATGACTGCTTGTTCACACCAAATTTATTAGACTTATCAACAATGCTTTATTACAAAGTTGCCACGACTAGATAAGTTCTCTTTTTTTTTTTCTAGCACAAAGTACACGTACAAGTAAGTATGTGCTTCCCACTCCTCTGATCGGACAAGACTTCGTGTTTCACCGCCTCAAAATTATATACAGTAGTAAGTATTACAAGTTAAAAGTTAAAAAATTTAGGCGGCCATATGGGTTTATATAATAACATGAGTTTCAGGGTTTTTTAGAAGTGAAAGGGAAGAGAGAAATCATTCCTCGAGTGTTTTACTCTTAGAGGCGAGAGAGCGAGCGAATTTCTGTATTCACTCCCCGTCAAAGCTCTCTCTCATTCTCTCTACACACACTAACCAAACCATGAGAGACCTCAAGGAATATGATTACCCTGCTCTGTTGCTCAACTTTTCCAGCCTCAACAAGGCCCAGAGGCGTTGGCGTATTGCCTACGCTGCCATCTACTCTGTCAGGGCTATGCTTTCCCTCGTCAAGGAGATAGTTCCCGCGAGGATTGCTCCCAAATCCTCTGATGATGCCTCCCTCTCCTACACTGCCCTCGAGTCTGGTGATGGGACACAGATAAACTCTATGCCTCTCTCTTACGTTCCTGACATCGACCAGGAACAACTTGTGAAGATCATGAAGGGTAAGGACTTACCGGGCATTCAAGCTTTGGGTGGAGTGGAGGGTATCGCCGCTTCCCTCAGAACAAACGCCAGCAAAGGAATCCACGGGAATGAGCAAGAGGTCAATAGACGCCGTGACCTATTTGGCTCTAACACCTACCACAAGCCACCGCCTAAAGGACTTTTCTTCTTTGTGTATGAAGCTTTCAAAGACACAACCATCTTGATCCTGTTGGCCTGCGCCACTCTCTCCCTTGGCTTCGGTATCAAAGAACACGGCCTCAAAGAAGGTTGGTATGAAGGCGGAAGCATTTTCGTAGCAGTTTTCTTGGTCATAGTTGTCTCTGCTCTCAGCAACTTCAGGCAGGAGAGACAGTTCGACAAGCTGTCCAAGATAAGCAATAATATCAAAGTGGAAGTCCTTAGGGACAGCAGGCGCCAACATATCTCCATATTTGATGTTGTTGTTGGTGATGTTGCCTTCTTGAAGATTGGAGATCAGATTCCGGCCGATGGCCTCTTCTTAGATGGACATTCCCTTCAGGTGGACGAGTCTAGTATGACAGGAGAGAGTGACCATCTTGAAGTCGATCACAAGGATAATCCCTTCTTGTTCTCAGGGACTAAGATAGTCGACGGGTTTGCTAAGATGCTGGTTGTGTCCGTTGGTATGAGCACAACCTGGGGGCAGACGATGAGCTCCATAAACCAAGATTCTAGCGAGAGAACACCTTTGCAGGTTCGTCTTGACACGCTGACCTCGACCATCGGAAAACTTGGTCTTACTGTGGCTGCACTTGTCCTGGTAGTGTTATTAGTCCGTTACTTCACAGGGAACACAAAGAAAGATGGAAAAATAGAATACAACGGGAGCAAAACACCTGTTAACACTGTCGTCAGTTCCGTTGTGAGAATAGTGGCAGCTGCAGTCACCATTGTTGTAGTGGCTATCCCGGAAGGCTTGCCATTGGCTGTGACTCTGACCCTTGCTTATTCCATGAAGAGAATGATGTCTGATCAAGCTATGGTCAGAAAGCTCTCAGCCTGTGAGACGATGGGCTCAGCCACGGTGATATGCACAGACAAGACAGGCACTCTAACACTGAACGAGATGAAGGTTACCAAGTTTTGGCTTGGCCAAGAGTCAATCCATGAGGATTCTACCAAAATGATCTCACCTGACGTTCTCGATCTGCTTTACCAAGGCACAGGTCTGAACACGACAGGTAGTGTCTGTGTGTCAGACTCAGATTCAGGGCCAACGCCTGAGTTCTCGGGCAGTCCAACAGAGAAGGCTCTCTTATCTTGGACAGTGCTAAATCTGGGTATGGATATGGAGACAGTGAAGCAAAAATACCATGTTCTCCGAGTTGAAACATTCAACTCGGCAAAGAAGCGAAGTGGAGTTTTGGTCCGGAGAAAATCTGACAACACAGTCCATGTGCACTGGAAAGGAGCCGCTGAAATGGTCCTGGCTATGTGTTCTCAATACTACACCATCACTGGGTCCGTTGACTCAATGGACTCAACCGCAAAGAACAGAATTCAGGCAATAATCCAAGGCATGGCGGCCAGTAGCCTCAGATGCATAGCATTTGCCCATAAAGTATCTTCGAATGACTCGGGGGGACTAGAGGAAGATGGCTTGACCTTGATGGGAATTGTGGGTCTGAAAGATCCATGTCGGCCTGGTGTCTCAAAAGCTGTAGAAACTTGTATACTTGCTGGAGTCACCATCAAGATGATAACAGGAGATAATGTTTTTACTGCAAAAGCAATAGCTTTTGAATGTGGAATCCTCGACCACAATGACAAAGATGAAGAGGAGGCTGTTGTAGAAGGGGTTCAATTCAGAAACTATACTGACGAAGAGAGAATGCAGAAAGTTGAGAAGATCCGGGTCATGGCAAGGTCCTCTCCCTCGGACAAGCTCCTAATGGTCAAATGTCTGAGACTTAAAGGCCACGTGGTAGCCGTCACAGGGGATGGCACCAACGATGCACCTGCACTTAAAGAAGCAGACATTGGACTCTCCATGGGAATTCAGGGCACTGAAGTGGCAAAAGAAAGCTCAGACATTGTCATTCTAGATGATAACTTCACATCCGTTGCTACGGTATTAAAATGGGGAAGGTGTGTCTACAACAATATCCAGAAATTCATTCAGTTTCAGCTAACAGTGAACGTTGCAGCTCTTGTGATCAATTTCATCGCAGCAGTCTCCGCTGGTGAAGTTCCACTGACAGCAGTACAACTGCTGTGGGTAAACCTCATCATGGACACTCTGGGAGCTCTGGCTCTCGCCACAGAGCGACCCACCAACGAGCTCCTTAAGCGAAAGCCAGTTGGGCGAACAGCGGCCCTGATAACAAATGTCATGTGGAGAAATCTCCTGGTTCAGTCATTATATCAAATAGCCGTACTCTTGGTCTTACAGTTCAAAGGTATGTCTATATTCAATGTGCGCAAGGAAGTGAAGGACACGCTCATATTCAACACTTTCGTGCTCTGCCAAGTTTTCAACGAGTTCAACGCAAGGGAGATGGAGAAGAAAAATGTGTTCAAAGGACTTCACAGAAACAGGTTGTTCATTGGAATCATAGCGATCACTATCGTGCTTCAAGTCATTATGGTGGAATTTCTAAAAAAGTTTGCGGATACAGTAAGGCTTAACGGATGGCAATGGGGAACTTGCATAGCCATTGCGTCTCTTTCCTGGCCAATTGGCTTTTTCACAAAATTCATACCTGTTTCCGAGACACCGTTCCTCAGTTACTTTAAGAATCCAAGATCCTTATTTAAGGGTTCAAGAAGCCCATCCCTCGAAAAACCTTGAGCAGCGTACCGTAACGGATGCAGTTCTCTAGGGATGGGTGGATAACTGAAAATAGATAACATTACAAACAGTGTGAAACTCTCCTTGAACGACCCAAAGATTCAAATACATACGGTGATAATGAAACCTTGATGAATCCCCACCAAGAGACGGTTTTTGATCAAACGAGCTGATGAGCACAAGGTTAGAGTCACTGGCTGCAAAGTTCTTTCATACTGCTGCAACAAGGTGGCTTTCCAGTTCAGTTCTGTACATACATAAAACGACATTACCAGGTTAGTATAGGAAGATGTGTTGATAACTCCGGGAAAAAAACAATTGTTTGAATATGAGCTTTGAGTAGCCATTGAAGGATGGTAAGGCTAACTTTGGTTTATCTATTATACACTCTCACGGGTAACTTACACAGTTTATATATGTAAAGCTAACTAAGTATGCTTGAAGTTTGTCTTGAAATAAGAGTGAGTTTTGTGCAAGGTATAATTTGTTTTGTAATGTTTAAGTGAATGCGGGAGAGACGCCAATTTGATTTTGTAAATATTTCCTTTTTTCTTAAAACGTTTGGCATTGCACAGTTTAAGCTCTCTTTGAAACACTAAAACATGATTAACTATGGAATATATATGGCGCCAAACATGAGAACAGAAAGTGGAGAAGTGACAAAGCAGAAAAATAGAAGAGGGAACACTTACGGCGGTTCCTGTAGAAGAACTGTGTGCGTTTAGGATTTCTCACTTTCTTTCAATCGGCATGTGTGATGTTTCAGCAGTGAATAGTCCTATACCAGGAAGAAGTGAGGCTGTCAGACATGACCTAGCTTGGGTTTAAACGATATGTTTCCACATTCATCTCTCAACCTAAGATAGATCATGCTGGCAGCTTCACTTGTTCCCTTGTGGACTTGTCTTCAAAAAACTTGTACATATGAAATGGAAGGCAGTTAATATCTTGGAGAAATTGGAAGTGCATACATGATGACAAAGACAAACATACAGGAAACAAGAAATGGTACTTTAACAAGAAGAGGGAGATGAGAAAAGAGAGATGCTGCGTTGAGGTTTAAGAGCGTTATAGATATTTATAGAAAGAGATGAGAGAAGAGTTGTTGAGGGACAGATGTTAAAAATTAAAAGAGATGGTTGGGTAAAAAGGAGAGAGAGAGAGAGACCACAAATTAAAGAAGCCTAAAACAGTGAATTAAAGAAGCACCATAATGCATACAGCTAAGCTAAGAGAGGAAGAAATCAATAAGGGCTATGAATTAGAGATTAGAGACTTGGCCCTGCATACCTATATTTCCACCACCTGTGACTCTAAACAGAGCGTCCTTTATTGTGATACATCTCTTTCTTTCTCTAATCTCTCTCTCAGGTAAACGTAGTTTGTTTTGAATCTTGACCGTTTATGTCTTCCTTGAAGAATTTTTCACCAGGGTCCATGCTTGCATTAACCACCCTCCTATGTTTGCGCTTCTCCTGCATTAAGTACTTAACAAAATAAGCCATCATTCTTATGCAAATACAAAGACCTGAAAAGTAATTAGCAGAGGTTCGTGGTGTGGGTTTGAATATATACGAAAGAATTATTTGGTAGGTGTGGAATTAAAAGCAACTATTATCACAAAGAGAAAAGAGAGATGAGTGTATCTTAGAGGCAATTACTCGCAAGCTGGTCTCTGCAACAGCCTAGTTAGACGACTCTATCCCTAGCTTGATGTCTAGGTCTCTGCTTCTTGTTTTAAATGCTGATATACCTTTACTCTTTTTCATGTTTCCATCTTCTCTCTTACTTTGAATTCATGCCATCTCTCTCTCTTTCCCTATGATGGTGCAAAACACTCCTAAGATGATGACTTCACTTGCATTTTTTTTGGTGGGACGAAGGCAAATATCCATATCCAAACCTTGTGGAAATAATAACATTATAATCTTGGACTGGATTGATCACCAAGAATCTCCGCAAGAACAGAGTCCATTTTCAAAATGATGAAATCTATTGGCATCCCTCATCACAATGTCTCGTCTGAATAACTTAGAGACCAGCTTACAAAAAGTATGGCAATCACTACAGACACGTAAATTCTTTGTGATCCGAAGACAGGCCCCGTCAGGTGTTCTGAGTAGACCATAAGCAATTGCTAGCCTCTCACTATGTCCACGCAGCATCTGAACCTTTACCCCTTCATCTACGTTATGCAGAACCAATTTTGTATCGGCCAGATAACCTGCTTCCCTCTCCAATCTCCTAGTAACCTTGGACAATTTCTCATATATCACTTTGGTCTCTGGATGAGACTTATCTCTTGCTGTAAATCTATGAACATTGCCGTGAACCTCAATCCAACTACATCCAGGGTGTTTCTCCATTCCGTTTGCTTTCATTTTTTCCCTCACGTTTGCAACATCGCTCCATCTTTTCTGTTCAGCAAAGACATTAGATACAAGCACAAGATTTCCTGGATTCTTAGGATCCAGCTCAATGAGCCTCTGAGCTGCTATCTCTCCTATTTCTTTCTCTGAGTGAGATCGGCATGCCGCAAGGAGAGCACACCACACTTCTGTGGTTGGTTCTGTCTTCATCATTTTAACGAATTCAAAGGCTTCCAATACACAATTTGCACGACCCAGCATGTCAACCAGACATACGTAATGTTCAGGCCATGGTTCCAATTTATATTCATGTTCCATCATCTTGAGAAACCTTCTACCCTCGTCAAGCAGACCTGCATGGCTGCACGCATAAAGAAGTGCCAGAAATGAAACGTGATCAGGCGAGACGTTTTGCTGCCTCATTTTATTAAACAACTCAACAGATGCTTTTCCACAGCCATGCATTCCATATGCATTGATCATACTTGTGTATTGCAGTAAACCCTTCCTTTCTATCCGATCAAACACAGCATTTGCACTCTGTAAATCTCCACAGCATGCATACATGTCAACAACCGCAACCGCAATGGACCCCTCTAGGCAAAAGCCATTCCGGAGTAAGTAGCCATGGATTTCTCTCCCTTTCATGAGAGTAGATAAACTAGCCACAGCGGAAAGTATACTCAACAATGCTATAGAATCAGCTGCCAAACCAGTTTCAACCATGCGTCCAAAGAGTTCAACAGCCTCGTTTTCGTTACCATTATGAGCACTAGACGAAACCATGCTTGTCCAAGAGACAACATCTTTATTTTCGATTGATTCAAATATACGAGTAGCATAGCTCAGGTTCCCGCATTTTCCGTAAACATCTATCAACTCATTCTGTATCACAGTATCGAGTAAACCTTTTCTCAAGATGTGACAGTGAATTTCTTTGACAGTGAGCATGGATTTTAGTGCACCACAAGCTCGAAGGATGCTCCCCAGTATCATCTCATCAGTCTCCATCCTTTTCTTAGCAAAATCCCGGAAGAGTTCTAACGCCTCTTTATGACAATCATTCTGAGCATAGCCGGCAATGACTGTAGTCCATGAAATAACATCTTTTTCACGCATCATAAGAAAGGCACAGCCCATGTAACTTGTGATGTTGCACTTGGAATACATATCTATCAACGTGTTACCTACCTGCAATTTAGAATCCCAGCCACGTTTAATCACGTAACCATGCAACCCCATTCCAACCAACACGTTGCCTAATCTCCCTGATGCTCCAATGACACTGGTCAAAGAAACCTCGTCGGGTCTATGACCAGCAGCGATCATGTCACAGAAGAAATCAAGCGCCTCCTCATACATGAGATTCTGTACATATCCCTTGATCAGAGAATTCCACGTCACAACGTCATGGTTATCCATAAGACGAAGAATCCTTCCTGCCTCAAGCATCCTGCCACAACTCGTATACATAGCAATCAAGGCGTTGCACACAAAAACTTCAAAACAATGAGGTGATTTAAGGACAGCAGCGTGGATCTCTCTCCCTAGCTTAGCATATGAGAAGCCTTGGCAGGCTGAAAGCGCCGAAACTATAGTGTAGCTGTTGTAGGGAGGGCCATTCATCCGCATATCTCTAAACAGTTGCAGAGTCTCCAAATATTGGCCAGATGTAGAATATGAAGACATTATAGAATTCCATAGAACAACATCATCTCCTTTCTCCACCGACCCGTCAAACAACTGCCTCGCCGCACTTAGATCATCATTCTTAGCGTACATTGAAATCAAAGCATTGACAATAAAATCCGTTGACTGGTACTGAAGCTTAACGAGCAGAGAGTGAATCTCAGTACCGGTCCGGATATCTCCAAGGTTGCCGCAAGCTTTAAGCAGAAGAGGAAAAGAGTGAAGATGGAGAGGAACGCCATTTTCAGATGACCGCATGTTCCGGTAAAGAGAGAGAGCTGAAGCGGGTTCGCCGTTAGAAACGTAAGCTCCTATCATGGCGTTCCATGCAAAGGCCGTTCTTTGACGCATTTCGTCGAACACTTTCTCTGCGTCGTCTAAAGACCCGGACTTACCGTACATAAAGACAAGCTTTCCGGCTAAAAAATCTAACTCGGTTGCGGGGAAGGACTTGAGAATGAGGGAATGGAGCTGTTGACCCTGAGAGATGGCTCTGTTTTTCCCGGAAAGCTCGATAGCGTAGGCGTACGCTTCGATTGATCCGTCAAGACGTTGAAAAGCTTCAAATAGGCCTCCATCGGAATTGGAAGAGGTGAGCTTCCGAGGAGGGACTCTGACGTGGTGGCAGTTGAGTGATGTGTTTGTCAGCTTGAGATTAGATTTTGATGGCTCTGTCGAATGGAGACGAGTTAGGCAAGTCGGAATCGAAATGGCAGAGGCAGAAAACATAATAATATTATCGCGGGAGAAGTTAAAATTTTTGTTCGCCAGTCTCATTTTATGGCGAGCAAGAAACTAATCAAACCGCACCAGTGGTTCATATACGGTCTCGAAGTCGAAGACGATAGCCAATTGCTCTTCAAATCCAATCATCACCATCCATGGGTGTTTCGGAGATAATAATTTAGCCCAGGCCCATATATAATAAACGGTACATTCTCAGCGTGTCTCTTGCTCGTCAGATATTAGACTGGTTGAACCGGCCGGTTCAACATTTAGTTTATGCTAAAAGAAAAAGTCTGGGTTACGTATTTGATTTCTTTGGCCAGTCTGGTTGATGTCTTGCATTATTGCATTGTTTTATCTACTCTTTTGCATACCTTTTCATCATGTAGGTTAGGTTCTAGCCATGTTTAGGTTGCATTTTGCATACATGAGTCCCCTTTAGGTATTGGAGTTTCACATGGAAGCTTTGGAGACATTTGGGGTTCATTAGTGGCTCAAAAGAAGCAAAAGGAGTGATCTAGACCCG